GGAGCCTCAGCTTCAGGATCTGTCCTTCCAGGGAACACTCAGGGTTGATTTCCTTCAAAATGGATAGATTTGTTCTCTTTGCAGTCCAGGGGACTCTCAAGAGCCTCCTCCAGCATCATAATTCAAAAGCATCATTTCTTCAGTGGTCAGCCTTCTTTATGGTCCAGCTCTCACTTCCATACATCACTACAAGAAAAACCATAACTTTGACTATGCGGACCTTTGTCGGCAAGGTGATGTCTCTTCTTTTTAAGATGCTGTCGAGATTTGTCATTGCTTTCCTCTCCAGGAGCACACGTCTTTTAATTTTGTGGCTGCTGTCACCATCTGCAGTGATCATGAAGTCCAAGAAAGTAAAATCTGTCATTGCCTCCATATCTTCCCCTTCCCCTTTGCCCTAAAACACGCTGGACATGAAATTCTATTTCAAAATACTGAAATACTGGACAACACCAGCAATCATTAGACTGCACAGGGAAGCCGCTGAAATCCACAAGCACCAGCAGAACTTCAACAAAAAAAGAGGAAAGTTTGAAACTCAACAAAACTTGGCTCCCAGCTCTCAAAAATACAGTGTGCAAAAGGTCAACAAACTCTACCCAGCCACAAGGACTGGGGATCACTACACACAAAAGACCAGCTAATGACACCCATCAATCACAGTGACAGATAATCTCTCCTTACCACAACAATACACACACTTATCACCCATCTCCTGAAAAGGACAAAAGCCTATCGCACAGCCATAAATAAACTCCCAAGCAAACTACACCAGAGCACGGAGTGCTGTCCTCTGAAGATACTGGTCACAGAGACTGGTGAAACGTTAGGAAGAACAACCTTCAGAAGACTGCCAAAGAGCCCGAAAAACCCACAACAACCATCTTCCCCTTCTATTTGCCAGGAGGTGATGGAACCAGTGGTCATGATCTTAGTTTTTTTTAATATTGAGCTTCAGACCATTTTTTGCCTAAGATATAATTAGACAACTTAAATCATATGTAAGAGTCCTCATGCAATCCAAAGTTAAAGAACAAAATTGATCTAAATTGTTGTTATACTTCAGAGATGATCACATTATGGACTGAAATCTTTAAAGTGGTGCCAAATTGTGAATATCATTCCTCTAGCTCTTCTGTGTGCAAGTCTAATTAAGAACAACAGTGTTCTAACTCTGATAACTTTGCTTTTTTTTCACAGTTCCACAACATTTGTACAAGTGCAAAGACTGTCCGGTAAGGGTAACCCCCTTGCTAGATGCTGAAAAGTACATAGAAGAAGCCCAGAAGATCTTGGAAAAATATAACCAGGAATCCAATGAGACACACAACTTCAGGGTGAAGAAAGTCATAAAAGCTTTTAGTGTGGTATGTGTTGCTGTAATGTCAGACTTAACCTATGAGATACCTAGTCATGTAAGCAAGTTTTTGAAGATTTTGAGAGTCATGAAGTGCCTGTGACTCCATTTATATGCTACTACAGTGGTGCCTCGCATTATGACGTTAATTCATTCCAGTGAAATCGCTGTAGAACGAAAACGTCGTAATGTGAAAAGAAAAAACCCATTGAAATGCATTAAACCCATTTAATGCATTCCGAAGGGCTGTAAACTCACCGTCCAGCGAAGATACTCCATAGGGAGGCCATTTTGGGTGCCTGTCTAGCGAGGAATCTGTTCCAGAAAACAGCGGGGGGGCATTTTGTTTAACCGGTGACCATTTTGAAACCACCGATCAGCTGTTGGAAAATTGTTTTGCGAAGAATCGGTTCCCGAAGCAGGGAACCAATCATTGCAAAGCAAAATTCCCCCATAGGAAACAACGTTTTTGCGATTGCAAAAGCAATCGCAAAAAGTTCATCGTAATGCGGTTTCGCCGTTAAACAGGGCAATCGTAAAGCGAGGCACCACTGTATGTGTGTGGAATTATTTCAGTTACATCCTGTCGGGCTTCGGGTTGCACAGTGGGAAAATTAATTTTTTTATGGGTTGCCCAGAAATGGTTGGAGTGAAAAACAGGGAAACATCTGTCTGAGCCAAACAGGTTGAATGTTTTGTTTTATTTTATTTTAGGATCATGATTCAAGGGACTGTAGAAAAAAAAGTAACTTTTTCCATATCTGAGGCAAACATGAGACATTATGGGATGGAATGAGTTGTGAACCCCATCTGAGGATCTGTACCCTGAGAGGGGAAGGAGTAACATTTTCACACAGAGTGAAGTTAAAGATTTTGAATGAGCAGCAAGGCTAGTTTTCTTTTTCAGCTTTCTTTCACAGTTTTAAAGCGAAACCCCTCTCCAATCCAGGCTGCAATATCACTTGCAAACTAATGAGTTTAGGAGAGGAAAGAAGGTAAAGCTTCCAGTTTCCACACTCTCCTGTGACTTCATGTGGAATTAAAATGGCAGCTGGACTATTTTAAGCACCGTGGAGTAGTAAAGCTGGGCTTTTAAAATGTAAAAGAAAAGGGTCAGTGCCTGATGGATCTCATATAAATTGTAATTAACATCACAGCTCAGACCCCAAACACTTGTGCTTCTCAAAACTGAACAAATTCTTCTCACAACCTTTGTAAAGTATGATGGTCTTGAATTTTCAGTTAACCTGGCTACCTCCTCCACCAGCACAGGGCACTTATAACAGCCACCTAGAGTGGTCGTATGGACCAGATGGGCGGGATACAAATCAAATATATAAACCCTTTCTTTAGGTAAAGGTTCCTCTTGACATTTAGTCCAGTTGTGTTCGACTTCAGGGCGCGGTGCTCATTTCTGTTTCCAACCCATAGAGCCAGCGTTTGTCCAAGGACCGTTTCCATGGTCACGTGGCCAGCACAACTAGACACGGAACGCCATGACCTTCCCACTCTGGTGGTACCTACTGTATTTATCTACTCACATTTACATGATTTCGAATGGCTAGGTTGGCAGGAGCTGGGACAAGCGACGGGAGCTCAGTCCATCATGTGGATTTGATCTTACAACGCCTGGTCTTCTGACCTTGCAGAGACGGGGCTGAGCACTGCGCCCTAGAGTCGGACAAGACTGGACTAAATGTCAAGGGGAACCATCACCTAAAGAAAGGGTTGTTATAAGTGCCATGTGCTGGTGGAGGAGGTAGCCAGGTTAACTGAAAATTCAACACCATCATACTTTGCAAAGGTTGTGAACCTTTACCTTTACCTAAGTGAGATTAGGATGGTAGTGAATCACTTGCACCCTCTAGTTGATTCTTTGCAAACAACCAGTCTACCATCCTTGGAAAGGCAATGTTTGTGAACCCTCAAGTAGCAGAAAAAGTTTAACCATGTTGAAATGTATTAATATGTTAATGACATGACTATCATTGGAACTATCCCTGGAATGCAAATAATGCCAACCTTTGCATATTTAATTGCAGAGGCACACATGTTGGCAACTTTGATGATACTGTCCAACCATCTCGTCCTCTGTCGTCCCCTTCTCCTCTTGCCTTCACCTTTTCCCAACATCAGGGTCTTTTCCAGGGAGTCTTCTCTTCTCATCAGATGGCCGAAGTCTTGGAGCCTCCGCTTCAGGATCTGTCCTTCCAGTGAGCACTCAGGGTTCATTTTCTTTAGAATGGATAGGTTTGTTCTCTTTGCAGTCCAGGGGACTCTCAAGAGCCTCCTCCAGCACCACATATTTCACGCAGCTTTTCTCAAATTCAGTAAACAAGGTGAGTTTTCGTATTTTGGATGCCTTTATTTTATCTTTATTCTCATGTTGTCTCTCCTATTCAGATAGGATCTCGAAAAGGATACTATGTTGAATTTATTATAATGGAAGCTGACAATCCCGAAGCTGGTTTCCCAAAAAATGAGTCAAAATTGAAGTTTCACTCTAAAAGACATGGGGTAAGCAAAAACCTATAGTCCCTTCAACACAGAACAAAGGACCAATCTAACAGTCAACCAAATGATGCAAACTCTCATGCAGTTAAATCAAAACTACCTTATAAGGTAGGGGCATGGTGGGGCTGTGGACTAAACCGCAGAAGCCTTTGTGTGCTGCAGGGTCAGAAGACCAGCAGTCATAAGATCAAATCCATGCGATGGAGTGAGCTTCCGTCGCTTAGTACCAGCTCCTCGCCAACCTAGCAGTTTGAAAGCATGTACATGCGAGTAGATAAATAGGGACCACCTCGGTGGGAAGGCAAACAGCGTTCCACGTATAGCCGCGCTGGCCACGTGACAACGGAAACTGTGTTCGGACAAACGCTGGCCCTACAGCTTGGAAACGGGGATGAGCACCGCCCCCTAGAGTCGAACACGACTGACTAAAATGTCAAGGGGAACCTTTACCTTTACCTTACCTTATAATCACCTGGATATGTAATACTCCAGTACATATAAGTATGCATTCTGTGTGCTAGGGCTACAGAGAGAGGACCTGCTTGTCCTTCTTCTCAAAAACAGAATCACAGAATGGGAAGATGTCTCAGACAGCCTTCAGACCCACTCCTGCTAGGACAATGTACATGGGCAACATGCTGACAGAGAGATGCTCAGCTTCTGCTTAAATGCATCCATCAAAGGAAGGTCTAGAACTCTCAAAGCAGTTGCCAAACAGCTCTTACCATGAGAACGTTCAAGTCTAGCAACTATGACTGGAATCAAGATTCCAAGTTTTCATCTCACTACCCACAGCAGCTAAGACCTTATTCTCTGGATGGAGCATTTATAGCACTAGTCTACAATGTTTTAGAAGTTGTCTGCTTCAGAAATTAAATATGCTATTTACTACGTAGGATTCCGTGCACATGCTCTTGGTATGTTTCCTGTCATGCCACCTGCATAAGGTTTGCCTTGTCTTAGTTATTCCAGTGACAAAATGTACAATTTTCTGTACTTCCTGAAAACATTTTTCAGGATTTTTCAGACAGAGAAACAGAGAGACAGAGAGAGAGAGTCATGTTGAAGAGGGGACAGGTTTGTTTTCCAGGGCTCCAGAGACTAAGACACAGAGCAATGGTTTCAAACTAGAAGAAAAGAGATTCCATCTGAACATTAGGAAGAACTTCCTGACAGTCAGAGCTGTCTGGCAGTGGAAGAGGCTGCCTCGGAGGGTGGCGAAGTCTCCTTCTTTGGAGGTTTTTAAGCAGAGGCTGGATGGCCATCTGTTGGGAGTACTTTGATGGATATTCCTGCATGGCGGGAGGTTGGACTAGATGGCGTCAGTGGTCTCTTCCAACTCTATGACTCTTATCAGTTAGTGATTTTACTGCCATTTGACATGATGTGCTTTTTGACCCTTTCCTGCAGGGGTGGGCAGGAGGTGGAAATAAGAAAACAGAAAGGCACTAATCACTGGGCATGGAATAGAAGGCCACTCAGGTGCACAGGGTGGGGAGGAAGCTTTTAATTATTAAGCTCAATGTATTTCATAACATTTGTATTCCTCTGGACACAAAATACAAACAATGTAAAACTTATTGCACAAGTGAGCTTTGTTAGTGAAACTTAGAAGTTTTCTGTTACCCTAATTTCCCTGGAAAGGAGTCTTTGACAGTCGGTTTAGTGCCACCCAATGCAAATGTATACTGTAATTATATATTGCTGTTTCCTTTGTATCTGCAGCACATGGGATTCTGCACAGGAAGAGTAATTCAAGATCCTGAAGTGGTTGGAGCAGATTCCTGTGTAATTTTTGATATTCCTGTAAGTATCCATGTTCTCCTGTGGTTAGAACAGCATGAATAGAAATCACAACATTTGAGGGTGCAATGGGATGATTTGGTGGGGTCTGAGGTCAGGCTGGTTCTCTCCTTTTCCTGGCAACCACTTGATATATGGGCCATCACAAATCAGTCCATCCCTGATCTTTGCCTACCTGTACCTTTTTTGGCTTCCTGTCAGGGTCTACTGTTTTTGGAACAGACAGGATCATTTCATTTTGGTTCTAGCAGGTGTGATTGCTGGGACTGAATCCAAGCATACAGGCATCACTTTGTTTAAGCCACATTCTTATTAGGAAATTGAAAACCTCCTCCCACTCCCATACAGAGGGGGGAAACAGAATTAGAAGCAAAGAAGATCCGGGGCTGAATTGATTGCTTAACAAATCAATTCAGCACTGTACCACTTGAAAATATATATTATTTTAAATTGAATATTTCTTCCTGCTGCTCCACAGAGGAGGAGACAGGAGTGGAAAAGGAGACTTTTGGCAGTGGCATATAGCAGCATGATCTCTCGCAACCTTTGCAGTGCATGTGTGGGTGCAGGGCAGGGCGGAAGATGTCAGGAGAAAAGCCTCTTTTTTTTACTATTTTTACTTTTAAAAAAATCTTCTTTTCTTTCCCTTTAAAGGGGGGCAATAGACTAAATAGCTTTGCATGGGGTGTGGTGGTGTTTTCTGCCCTAAAACCACCCAATCCACATTAAAGAGTTACCCCCATATAGCATATCACACCTAAGGCAACCCTATTTTGCTTGTTATAGCCGCCTAGAGTGGCCTTTTAGGCCAGATGGGCGAGGTATAAATCAAATCAAATCAAATCAAATCAAATCAAATCAAATCAAATCAAATCAAATCAATCAATCAATCAATCAATCAATAATTTAAATGGCCTGCAAATGTTACTCCATGAAAGCAATGAAGGCAATAATGAACAGTCTAAATACTGAGAAAAGCAAACAGCCCAAGAAATGCAATTAATGACTCATTATGAAAGGTGGAGTATGTTGACATGCCTTGGAATTAAGTGCCTTGAAATCTGGTTGAATGAACAAAGGGATCACAGTCTTGTGCAAGAGGTTGGAGTACAGGTGGCCAGGGAGCTTCTTAAGGTGAAGAATGTAATGTGCAAGAGGTACCAAAGCAAATGAAGAAGGACCAAGAAATCATAAAACACATAAAATGCAGAAAGCTAGAATGGCTTGTTCATGTAGTGAGGAACAAAAATTGTACTGATTGTTACAACTAATCATCATTCTAGATGCAATAGCTGTGAAATGAAATGCAGGAAGGAGAAAAATATATTGGCTGGAATACCTTGGAGACTGTTTTGGATGTCATATAATACTAGAGCTGCTGTATCAAAAAACAGAGCATCCAGAATGGCATCCAACATCTGGTAGGAGAAGAAGAAGAGAAAAAAGAAGTTATGTCAGCCGTAACAAAAATTTCAATATTCATATGAAGGCAACATTCAAGGGCATAAAACAGCACACATGTTTTTTGCATTATCCACAATGGTTTATCACGTTTACCATTATTAAATCAAAAACAAGTAGCCTTTCTAGGGTACATATTACACAAACACCAGGATTCTGGCCCATAGCTGAATGTCCAGAAGCTACTGTCAGCTGCACTGTTGAATGCATAAATGAATGCAGTAAAGATGGATATTCTGTGACGGACTTCTAACTAACTCTGTTTTTCTTTGCTTTCAACTCTCATGTGTCTTGTATGTTCACTTCAATGGCGGCTGTATTCCTTTTATATACTTACAAAAGCATGGCAAGCATCCCTTCCACCACCATCACCACTGTCACAATGATTCAGAAGAATTCTATCATCGTTGCGATGTGCCTGCGCATGAATGTGACCGTCCACCTCCTGGTCCACCACATAGGGATCATCATCATCACCATCGACCCCACCATCACCATGACCATCACCCCCACCATCACCGTCGCCATCGCCATCACCATCCTCGTGATGATTCAAGAGAATTCTTTAACCGTTGCAATGTGTCTGGGCAAGAAGGTGGACCTCCACCTCCTGGTCCACCACACAGGGACCATGATCACCATCATCACCACCACCATCCTCCTGCCCACTGCCATCATTGTGGGCCTCCTTGCCCTCCTGATGGCCCCTGCAATCACCCACGACCACCTCATTTTCACAGACATGGTCCCCACCGCCAACACCACCATCACGATCACAGGTGTAGCAACAATGCGGACGGACAAGGAGGTTTTTCTTCTGAAGACGGTGGTTCACTGAGGCACCACCACTCTTTCCACCACGGTGATGGTGATTCAGTACACTACATTCCAGTCTTGAGTCAGAATGATGTCCTTCAAACTCCTGGGGCCAGCTTCCTTGACCGTCATCCGTATGGTCCACATAGAGGGCCCAAGGAACGGGTTTCTCCTTGCAGACACGCACACGGAAAGCCCGTTGTTCAGCCTTTCCCAGAAATTCCTTCAGAATCAAAATTATGCCCAGGGAATATCAAATCGGAACCACCAACAGGCTTGTTGTTATTATATCCATCACAATCTAAACACTGAAATTTCCTTTAAATGGTGCGTTTATCTTCAGTGAAAGGGCTATATCCAACTATTAGTGCCAACCAGAGTAGACTCCTTGGGTGAGCAGGGCTTGTTAACTTCTATGTAAGTCCCACTGATCCAGTGGATCTACTATGGGTGGTGCTGACTATTGGATTTAGCCCAACGTACCTTCAGTTTGCTTTAAAGAATCATTTCATTGGCTTCAACTGCATGGCACACTTCCTGTAAGCTGTAACCTTCTTCCTCTCCTTCCTGTCCTACCAGAGTTTGAGCAGTATTATAATTATTTTGACTCTGGATGCAACAGTTCTAAATAATGATGTTATGTATCAAAACCGTTCTCTTAAGATTTCTCAGCCAAAAGATAGAACTAGGGTGAATCATCTTGGGGTTTGACCAAGGGTGCTGAAATGCAAGGGATACAACATGTGCCACTGGAAGGGTGTAAACTGACCTCTTGACATTTGATGCTGGATGGATACAAACCTACCGGCCCTAGGCACAGATGCTGCCTCCAGCC